TTTGTCTATGTTCTGGCTTTATTTAGGTACTTTTTATTGTAGATTTCTTCTATTTTGTTATTTTTTGTAATTTTTGAAGGATCATCGGAAAGAGTTTTTATCTTTCAATAATACTATATAATAACAACATGTAATGAAATTTATATATTGAGATTTATTTTAAATAATATTTTATTAAAAAAACAATATAAAGTCTATATTACTTTTTTTTTGTAGTCAAAGTTAGCCTCTTTGGCTTCCTACTTTTATTAGATTATATAATAGAATCATATGGTGCCCTTTTCAATGAGGCACCAGACAAGTATATTCTGACAAAAGTACATTCTAGCAATATCTGCGCTTTTTGAATGTCTAATTAAGTATCTACCTATTGCTAGGTTCTACACTAAATGCCGTACCTATAACTCACTATTACTTGAATTATCCAAGTCTATATTACTAATTTAAGTTTATCAATAATGTTTAATAAAAAACAAGGTTATATTTATAGAGTTTTGCTATATTTATATCTAAGATCTTGAAAGATAAACTATTTACTCAAGCTGCTGATATTTACAGTTTTAAGATTATTATGATAAAAATATCAACTAATCAAAAGCTTTTTGATAGTTACTGAATAGCAATAAAGATTTGTAAAATTTGTGATTTGAATTTAATATAGGTGTCTCAAAATGTTATGTTAAATTAGCCAAATAATGTATTAATCCTAATATAAATAAAAGATTTACTGCTGTTGAGATTCTTAATAAACTTATAACAAATATAATAGTAATAATTAAATTGAAGCAAAAAAATTTAGATTTGCAACTGGTTATATATGAAGTGCATATTATTTAGAAATGTATATAAGCATTATTTTGAAACCATGCATACTATTTTTAAGAGTATGATTATTTTTTTTTTTATTTTAAATTTGCTGTATATATAATAAAATTAATTACAGATTTGTATTAAGATAATATTAAATTTTACCTATCTATTATATTTTGTATAACCTCCTAGGTGTAGCAAATCACTTCTTAATTTTCTATTTATAAACTAATTTAAGACTAGCTACTATTAGTTATAAAAGGAGAAAGAGGAAGCTCAAAATACAATTTTTTAAATAATGCTTATAGATATTATTATATAAAAATATAATATTTATAAAATTTATTTAGATATGTGTCACTTCACCAACGGTCATTTTATAGACATAACATTTCACTGACAAAAATCCGCTGACAATTATTTTACCAACAAGTTTATTTTACTAACAAGCTTAACCTTAACTCTAATTTTAACTTGACCTTAATGACAATGACCAGAATTATTTTGTCAATAAAATAAGCTTTGGTGAAATAAACTGTCAGTGAAATAAACTTGTTGATAAAATAAACTTGACAGTGAACTAATTGTCAGTGAATAGTTATCAGTAAAATGTTATATCTACGAAATGACTATTAGTAAAACGAGGTGAACTGATTTATTTATATATAAAATTTAAATAATATTAAGCTAACTATTTTTAACAAATTTTTAGTTAACAACAACAAAAAACTAAACTACAAAAAAATGATATAAGAACATCTAAGATGAATACTTCTTAGTTCTAACTTAAAGTAAAGAATGATTATTAATTTTTTAATAGCTAAATTGTGAAGTTTGTGAAGTTTGTCTACCTATTTTATAGAACATTCCAAAATATACTACTTTATATAAGCTATTAAATATTTAAATAATATGATTACTATAATCTTATAAGGCTAATAAATTTGTTATACTAAAATTTAAAGGTAAATAAAAAAAGGATGTGGTGATTTAGTGAAATGGCTAAGTTGTCACTTCCTAAGCAGCACATCTAAGATTCATATCCTATTATTAACAAATCTTCAAATTTCTATTTATATTATAGCTACAATTTTTCTGTTAAGACTATTACACAGTGCTTATCAAAGTTAAACTAAGTCTTGTAACTTGGTAAACATTAATTGAATAATTGTAAGAATCTATAAGATATATAAATTACACAAAAACATGCAAGCTAACATAGAATAATACAAACTCAAAATAAGTTCTTATAATCAAATAAATCCTGTAAACTTTAGCAAGATTAATGCCTGTTTGGCAAGACCTAAATAGAGAGGTAGCTTTTTACATAATTGTCTGAATGAACTTTATAAAATCAGAGTGGTTTGAAAATGATATAACCTGTCTATAAAGATATAGAATTTATCTGATAAAGAATCCTTCTGTAACTGCTTAATTGCAATTCAAAGAAATCTAAATTAGCCATTAAGTAACAGGTTAAAATGAAGGGCACTAGTCTGAGTATCTCTTCTCTTTCTATAACTAGTTGTACTTAAATTAGTTCCTTAATAAAAAATTAAGGGGTGGTTTGCCATGTGAAAACAGTTATACAAGATATATAGAGATAGTTAGAATAGTATCACCTTGATACAAAATTGTAACTACTAATCATGTATATGGCAAAATCATAAATAAAAAAAATAAAAATATAATTTACTTATCAAAAAGTCTTGCTCTAAGTGTAAAATGATTCTTAATTAAAAATTGATATATATTAATATATTCAATAATGATTGAATGTTTTTTTTGTTCTATATCGTGGAGTACATTCAAATTTACATAGTTCAAATAAAACTTAAAGTTTTTTGACAGACTTTGTTAGTAAGAAGTATTAAATTCGTCAAAATACCCGTATTGCAAAATTTTGTACGTTTTCTATCGTACTTAAATATATAGTCTAATTTAGAGTGTCCAGGGTATTGCGGCGCATAATTCTGCTCACACTAAAAAAAATTTTTTACAATGTAATTGATTTTAAAAAGTGATTTAAATCACATGCCTCTTATGAGAGCAATTTATTTTTAGCGTGAGCAGAATTATGCACCGCAATACCTTGGACACTCTAACCTAGTTCTTTGTACAATTATATTTCATTAACAATATAACCAATAGAAAACGAATACCATTATATATTAAAAACAAATTTATTTGCAACAGGCTGTTACATATAATTAGATATGATAATTGTCAATAATGTCACACAACAGGTTGTAATTATAAATGATATATGTAAGAAGGATGGGGAATTTGATGGAATAAATTCTGAAAATATATAATATATTATTAAATATGTATGTAACGATAATTGTTATTCGTACCCAAAATTTGTTACTTATACCTCCAGTAATCAGTGTCCTGTTCTATAACCTATTATGACTACATATGCCGGTGAAATTAAAACTGAGTGATCAGGGTTGTAAATGTAAACTTACTGATAGTAAGTTACTGGTAAATTACCGTAAGTTACCAAGTTACTGCGGAGTTAAGCTTAATTTTGGCTGGCATTAATTTATATGTATAGTCAACTTTTCTATTAAATCTTGGCTAATCATATGTATAATCTTTGGTCGATCATATGTATAATCTTGGCCGATCATACGTATAATCTTGGCCAATTAAAATTTTTTATCATGGTAATTTACCATGGTAATTTACTATAAGTTTTAGTAACTTACCGTAAATTACGGTAATTTTACAACCCTGTGAGTGATAAAATAATTTTACCACTATTAGTGAAATTAATATTGGATTGGTGAAATTAATTTTACCAGCATTTTTAGGTATGACCTGTTGGCTAAATATGAGTCATACATAACCTTATGACTATTATGACATAAATTTTAGTATTATGCTATGACTATTTGGTCATGAGAAAAATATCTTGCCAAATTAGTTAGGTAGTTGTCGAGATATTTGTTTAAAAACTTTAAAAATTTTATCTTACTGTGATATGTACGAATCGTAACAAAATTTGGGCACGAATAATAATATAAGAGCAATAATAATCAATTTTACTTACGTGAAATATTTATGTTATCCTCTGGAAGATATAATGAGAAAATAAAACCAGAAAATGGCAACAGTCTACCAGGTGATATACTAGCATCTTTTCCTCTTTCATCAAATATGTATAATTTATATTTAGTTATCGGTAAAGAAGATGCATCTTTTGTCGTGTCCCAAATTACAGAAGTGATAGTTCCGGTAGCATTAGCAACAATTGTAAAGTATAGATCCAAATTTACGGATGGCTGAGCAAGAACATTCATATATTTTGGTTTAATGGAAAAGTTTGCAGAATATTTCCAAGAAAAAGTGATACTCGACCCTATCTTAAATAAAAGACCCTTTGCGGGATCAGGAGTGGTGAGCAAAATGGTTACTGGAGGTGTAAATATATCGACGTATGAAGTATCATTTCCTGTTGTGTCGTTTTTACCACTTATATCTGTTGAATTATTTCCTATGGTGTCATTTTTACCACTTGTAGCTGTTGAATTATTTCCTATTGTGTCATTTTTACCACTTGTAGCTGTTGAATTATTTCCTATGGTGTCATTTTTACCACTTGTAGCTGTTGAATTATTTCCTATTGTGTCATTTTTACCACTTGTAGCTGTTGAATTATTTCCTATTGTGTCATTTTTACTACTTGTAGCTGTTGAATTATTTCCTATTGTGTCATTTTTACCACTTGTAGCTGTTGAATTATTTCCTATTATGTCATTTTTACCACTTGCAGCTGTTGAATTATTTCCTATTGTGTCATTTTTACCACTTGCAGCTGTTGAATTATTTCCTATTGTATCATTTTTACCACTTGTAGCTGTTGAATTATTTCCTATTGTATCATTTTTACCACTTGTAGCTGTTAAATTATTTCCTGTTGTTGATAAAGGAGTTCGAAGAGGTACATCGCTTATACTGTCAGTTGTAGATGCAAGTCTGAGTTGCGAAGACGATGGTGCTGATGTATATAAAATCAAAGTTAATAGTATTACAAGAAATGCAATAAAAACGGTAACTAGATAGGAACCAATCGGAATCTTGGCCAGCTATGCCGGTTTAATAAATTCATCCTAGGTCATTCAAAATTTTATTTTGCAATATCGATATATAGTTGCTCAATGCCCAACCCAACGGGATTTCGACCCAGAATTTTTGGGACTTTCAAGTGTCTAATCACATCACAAATAGGGATGCGAGCTATACCTATACCATATTATACGATTGGTATAATACCAGTATTATACACATAGGTATACCGTATAGCGCTGCATATAGTACCCCCCGGAATAGTATCCCCATTTTTTGACAAGCGATTTGTGGCCCAATTTCATAATTAAAAGCACGATCATTTCATTTGGTTTGATACAATAGCAAGGTATATATTGACCAGCAACGATTATTTGTATTATCCTCTCATCTCTCAATATTAGGGGGGATATTATTCAATCTAGGCCGGTTTTCTTGAATAGTACCCGGGGTACTATATGCAGCGCTATACAGTAGTTATAATACCAATAATAGAAATGAGTTAGCTAATTAAATTGCTTTATCTGTAATCCTGAAGGTTTAGAATAATTCCGAAAATTCCGAACCATATTAAGCTGAGAGCATAGTGGTGGATATACCATACTATACCATGGGCACTTTCAAGCAAAAAATTCGGTCTTTCCCCTGAGCAGATATCCATTGTCTAATCATTGTTAGTAGTGCATTCCATGGAATACTCATGAGTGTTTCATGGTTTGTCTCATGAATCAAAGGACAATTATAATATGCAGGGAAACAATTGAAGACAATTACGTCAATATGTATACACCTGATCCACTACAATATCTGCTCAGGAGAAGAACAGAATTTTTGCTTGAAAGCGCCCCATATTATACAGTATTATACTATCATTTTCTATTATACCATAACCGCATCCCTACTCACGAGGATAACTACCCCAGGATCGCCAACAAAATTACTATGTATGTAATTTTACCATCACATGATGATCGACGAAAATAAGCCAATAATGAATCTCGATTTGGTGTAACGTTACGCGATCAGAAAAACGTTCGTTTTGCCAAAAATCGCTTATATCTCAAAATCTGCGCATTTACTAATTTTACCCAGGTTTCACGATTCTGGCCAATCAGAGGACAGGATCAGGTGTAACGTGAAAATTAAAA